GTAGATCTCTTTGCGGCTTCTGACCATGATTCTGATCCTGTTTCAGGTGAAGTCCATCTCGCTGGCTGTTGATGAGCAGCATTGAAGAATCATATCATAGGTGCCAAAGAAGCAGTTTGCTTGTTGCTGCTTAGTGTGTGCATTCGAATATATTGATCCAAAATATTCTGTAATCGCTATACCACCGTATAATTTTGCCGCCTTAAAAATTTAGCACAAACGCATGTACAAATTAATCTAGTGCTAAGGTAGTAGCTGTTTCTTTTTTGTTTTCCTGGAAAAATAAGGACACCAGAGAATTTCCTCAGGACCTGGTCCACGCAAATTCAAATTCTTGCCATCCACTGCCCAAATCAGCATCATCTTTTTTTATTTTTTTTAATATAAGCGATAGTCTAAACTAAAAAGGGTTTCTTCACAAACACTACTGAGGTGTCATGGTATTCGAACTTGAGATAGTTGATTTACAAGTTAAGATCATTTTAGGCTGGGCCAAATGCCTTTTGCAAATCAGCATCACACAAGTGCTTATGGCCAGAAAAATGCTCGACTTAGAAACACTCTTAAAATAGGCCATAGAGACATTACTGGGTTGGGCATACTTGCAAATCAATCTAGCTCAAAGCCCACTTTTTTTATAGGCTCAATGAAGCCCAGTTTAGGGTCCTAGAGATCTCCGCCTGGATATGAAAATCTGAAAATTTTCCGTTAGAATTTCAAATAGCGAGGGAAGAAGAGTCAGGAGTCTCAGGCCTTTACAGAGGCTGGCGCCGCTGAAACACCTCCAAGTGCCCTTCACACTTATAACCCTCACTCTCTTTCTCTCTCTGTGATCAGACCAAAACAATGGCCGTTTTTGTCTCCTTTCTCCTCTCTCGGTTTCTGCAATTTCCGTTTGGCTATTTATATGCTTTATGTGTCCCTCCTCTCCTCGCCTTCACCTTCACCTTCACCTCCAGTTTCTACTTTCTCTGTCTCCCTGGTAGTTCCAGCTTCAACCATGAGGAAGAGAATTGAAGACACCCTCGCTGCTCACCGCAATGAACTTGTTTCTCTTCTCTCTAGGTCTCTCTCTCTCTCTCTCTCTCTCTCTCTCTCTCTGTATTTCAAATGGAGGGTTCTTTTCGAAATTAAGAAAAAAATACAAATTTGATGTGGGTTTTTAGAAATTTGTGATTTTGTTATGTTGGAAGGTATGTTGATCGAGGAAATGGGATACTGCAACCTCATCAAATGATAAACGAGCTAGAAAACGTGATTGCAGAGGATGAAGGAATGCAGAAGCTCAAGGATAGCCCCTTCAGTATAGTCTTACAGTCTGCGCAGGTTAATTTCCTACACTTTCTTGTGTGCAGATATATTAATTATGCGGTTATTAGTTTCTGCATGTCCCCTTTGTGTTTCACATTGAGTTTGAAATGAGGATGTTATGTTTTTTAGAGCAGCTTATTGTTTATTATTTGTTCATACAGTTTAGATAACGAAATTTTAGGATGTCTCTGAAGTAGTACATGTTTGTTTGCTTAGAAAATGACAAGTAAAGATATATGTTGAATCACATTCAATGTCCCCTTTGTGTATAATTTAAAGTTCCAATTTTTCATTATTCGAGACCCAAGAAAACACAAATCTTTCATTCTGCATGGCTTGTAAACTCTGTTGAGGTGAACTTTTGATTTCAGGAACAGATGACATTGAATGTGATTCAGCATATATCTTTGACCTTCCCTCATTTTTCTGTACAACCAAATACACAGATAATGAATTTTTCACATAAAATGGTAGTTTAAATTGATCATGATAATGATTGCTTTGTTTCAATGCACATTATTTTTTAATCCATTGACTATATTAGCTTTTATTAGTATATACCTAAAACCAAGCAAAGAAATGTTCTCTTATGTGTTTCATGAGATGTCCAAATACTTTATAAATGACAAACATGCGTGAAAGTTTTCTTTGTTGTTCTTTTTTTTTTTTTTTTTCATTTTTTTTTTTTCTTTTTAGGAAGCAATTGTTCAAACTCCTTTCGTGGCTCTTGCACTTCGTCCAAGACCTGGTGTATGGGAATATGTTCGTGTTAATGTGTATGAGCTCAGTGTGGATCTTTTGAGTGTTGCAGAATATCTCCGGTTCAAGGAAGAACTTCTGGATGGAGAGTAAGGGATCTCATGTGTAAATCTTTGTTAATGAATTTTGTAATTGATGCTGAATCTCTGTGCTTTCTTATCTGGTTTAGCATTACGCATTACATTGTAAGGACAAACCAGGTTTTATATTGTTACCTTTTCAAAAAAACAAATCAGGTTTTATTTGGTCTTTCAATTTCATTATCCGCGAATGCAATCTCAATTTGAAATGATTGTCCTAGGTGCAATGACAAATATGTGCTTGAACTTGATTTGGAGCCATTTAATGCAACATTCCCTCGACCAACCCGCTCATCATCAATTGGAAATGGGGTTCAGTTCCTTAACCGTCACTTATCTTCAATTATGTTCCGTAACAAAGAAAGTTTGGAGCCTCTTCTCGATTTCCTTCGTACACACAAACATGATGGACATGTAAGTTTTATTAAGCTATGGGTTTTACTGATTGAGCATTCCACTTTTGTAGTTATCTTTATGATTTTCTGGCCCATTAGTTTATTTTGCTGGGCTTCTCTTCACATACAAATTTAGTGTAAGCTATTTTTCAACCTTAGGTTCCTAGTAAATCCTTGCCTAAATTTGTATATGCAGTTATATGAAAATAAGGTTTTGAAATCCTCACATATTAGGTCTATAATCTTGTGCAGGCAATGATGCTAAATGATAGGATTCAGAGCATACCCAGACTTCAGTCTGCTTTAGCAAAGGCAGAGGAATATCTTTCTAAGTTACCGGCAACTACACCATATTTTGACTTTGAATTTGAGTAAGCAACCCATCTATTTTAAAATACTTTGATCTCCACTGCTTTAGCGGGATGATTTGTTTGCTTTAGATAATACCCTTTAATCTTCTTTACACTGAGTGCAGCTTACAAGGAATGGGATTTGAGAGAGGGTGGGGTGACACAGCACAACGGGTATCAGAGATGGTTCATCTTCTTTTGGAAATTCTTCAGGCTCCTGATCCATCTACACTGGAAACTTTTCTTGGAAGGATTCCTATGGTGTTCAATGTTGTTATTGTGTCTCCACATGGCTACTTTGGCCAAGCAAATGTTTTGGGTTTGCCTGACACTGGTGGGCAGGTATTGCTTACTTTTCACTATTTCATGTCCATTTGTTGGTGTTTGATCCTTTCTTCCATTTAGCTGTTTATCTGATAGAATATTAATAGATTTAGTAGTTTACGAATTGTTTTCTCCTGAAACCATGAAAAAGTTATATCTTTTCTTACTGATGTCAGGTTGTTTATATACTGGATCAAGTACGTGCCCTGGAGAATGAGATGCTTCTTAGAATACAAAACCAAGGACTGGATGTAATTCCAAAAATTCTGATTGTAAGTTTGCTCAACTGAAAGTTCTTGTGATATTAGTTGACATAACGTGTCAGTTTATATCACTTCTTGTCTGGTTTAAGGTTACCCGACTGATACCTGATGCAAAAGGGACAACATGCAACCAAAGATTGGAAAGAATCAGTGGCACAGAACACACACATATCTTGCGGGTACCTTTCAGAACTGAGAATGGAATTCTGCGGAAATGGATTTCAAGGTTTGATGTGTGGCCGTACTTGGAGACCTTCGCAGAGGTAAGGATTACGCAGTCAAAAGCATAGGGTTACATTTTGTGCTCCTGTTTAATCTTCCTTTATTTCTTTTCTGCCCTTGGTCCATTGCTTGAATAATCAAACTTTATCATACATGCTTTTGGGTTTTTATTACCCTTGTTTGTGGGTTATATTAACATAATTAATCCTTTCTCTTGCTGTGGCCATGTTTAGGATGCCTCAAATGAAATAGCTGCTGAGTTGCAGGGTGTTCCAGATCTGATCATTGGAAACTACAGTGATGGAAATCTTGTTGCAACTCTGTTATCTA